TATGTTCTTCCTTATTCCCAGTTTCTAGAAGCTCTAGACAAGGCTGTGTTTTGTTATTTGCACTTTCTCTAGAACCCCTGGCCCAGGCAGTGCATCAGTCTACTCATACTCCCATTACAGCACATAACACTGATCACTATATTTCTCTTTATGCAGATGATATATTGCTTTTTTAGGAGATGCAGCACAGTCAACTTCACATATTTTGTCTATTTTTGATGACTTTGGCAATATATCTGGATACAAAATCAATTGGGCCAAATCCGCTCTCCTCCCCTTGAATGATGCCATGAGAAAGGCTGCGCCTCCTACAAAATACCAGTGGTCCATACTTTTAAATATCTTGGTTTAAATATATTTCCTTCTCACCATCACAAATAATTATAATTCAGTCCTTAAGCAGGTGGAGTTGGATCTTGTGCTTTGGTTACCTATCTCCAATTTATTTCAAGCTCGGGTCTCGATTATTAAGATGAATATATTACCTCGTATCAACTTTTGTAGTTCCATGCTTCCTATATCATCCCCTGCTGGTTACTTGAAAAAATTACAAAATTAATTACAAAATATGTTTGGAAAGGGAAACGCCCACGCCTCAAAATGTCTATTTTACAGAGACAAAAAAGTTCTGGTGGCCTAGGCATTCCTAATTTTAAATTTTATTTCTGGTCCTTCACACTTAGGGCTCTTCATACCTGGTTTAACCCAGAGGCCCAGGTGTCTTGGCGTTCAGTAGAAGAGGAGTTAATAAGTCCTCACAGGCTTCAAAATGTGATTTATTCTAACATCCCTCTTAAGACTTGTAAATCTAAATTCGGACCTATAATTTCTCATCTTATTGTTACATGGAGAATTGTAGAATCACACACTAATACACACCTGAAGCTTCATCCTCATATACCATTATTTCATAATTTTTCTCTCGGTATAGAAAATCGTCCTATTTCTTTCTGTCACTGGAGTGTTAAAGGCATTCACACTCTTTCTGACATTTTGGAGGATAATAGGCTTCGGGCATTCCAGGATCTCCAATCTCATTATAACCTACCTGGCAACTCTTTCTTTTTTTATTTGCAACTTCGTAGTGCTTTACGTGCATACAGGGTCCCCTGGGGAGAGGAGTTTAAGACCCATCCCATCCACAAAATTTGTACCAGTTAAAGCCACTAAGGGCTTGATTTCTAGTTTTTACTCACTTATTAATAAGGCCACAGAAAAATCCCTGCAAGTTCATCATTGCTGGCATCAAGATCTTTCTATTTCATCCGGTGCAATCAATTGGAATATGGTCTGGTCTAATATCTCTCTGTCTTCCAGGAACCCCAGTCATCAAATGATTCATTATAATTATGCACACAGATTATACTGCACTCCCCAGAAGCGATTTCTTATGAAATTATCTCAAAACCCCAACTGTGATTTATGTTCCTTGGGAACCCCTGGTACTTTTATTCATATGGTCTGGGAATGCTCTGGAGTTTCATTATTTTGGGAAAGGGTTGCTAGGAGGTTGTCAGTGGTGTTGGATGTTGCTATTTCTTTTTCTCCAGTTATTTTGTTATTAAATGATTTTTCTGGGTTGAATTTGACCATAAGGCAGCGGCGCTGGTTATAAATCGGCCTTACTGCTGCAAAAAGAATGATAGCTCAAAGATGGAAAGCTCCTCACATCTTGTTCTTTCAGAAATGGGTATCCTCAGTAGTGGACTTGGCTAGTATGTGTATGCTTATATAAGTTTTTGTTTTCTTGTGTTTTTTTGTTTAAAAAAAAAAAAAGGAAAAAATGGCCAATCAAAAATTGATCACAAAAAAACAAAAGTAACATAAGTAAGGGGTGTCGGTGCCTTAGTGGATAGAGCAGGCACCCCATGTACGAGGCCATTGCCACAGCGGCCCGGGTTCGAGTCCAGTCTGTGGCCCTTTGCTGCATGTCATCCCCTCTCTCTCTCTCCCCCTTTCACACTTGGCTGTCCTGTCCATTAAAGGAAAAATGCCCCAAAAATATCTTTATAAACTAAAAATAGAAAATAAAAAAGTAGCATAAGTAACAAAATGAACATCCCATGGACGGCCACAGACGATCATTGCTTGCATGATTCAGTTTGAATAGATCTAAAAATGTGTGCCATAATACCTAGAGCATTTTTTTTTTGCAGCTCAAAGCCAAGGCTTCTGGCTTCCTCATCATCATGCCATTCTCTCATGTCCGTACCTCATGCGTTGTGCAAATGTTGTATTTTGCCATAATTATGCCAGTATTTCCTGAAATGGCCATTGGAAATCTCTGTTTACATAATCCTGCATATGTATTGATCTAAAATATAAACCATGGTAGCTAGAATATTCATTCTGTCTTCCATGTCATCATGTTGTATGCATGTAATGACATCATTGCGCCACATTGCATGTGGTGCAAAACCACACATTTTCATGCAGTTTTGCACCACACACATTAGGGCGCCAGAAGAACAAATGCACGCCTTTGCACTCTGCTCAGAAAAATGAGCAGATTTTTAAAAACTAAATAATGTACATAGTTTAATTTATTTATGCGTCTACATTTAGAAATCCTTTGGCTCAATATGTTTTGTGTTTTTAATTTGTACAATCTGATGAAAAACATCTGATTTCCATATTTTTAACAATTATTATGTTTGTTTTTTTTACTTAAATGTTTATATTTTAGGGACATGAAGCATTTGAAGATAGTACAAGAAATTACATCACAATCAGCAAAAACATCAATGTAGGCATTTGGGGACCATTTCTATTATAGAGTTCAAAGGTTTAAAAATGATCACATCCAGAGCCTCCTCAAAAACTACACGTGAACAGAGAAGATTATGATGTTGTCTTAAAAAGTGATGACATTCACCCTATTGAGCTTGTGCCTTTTAGAGATAGTGGAATCCATTCATTTAGATATACTCACTAATTCAAGACACATGAAAATACACTTAAGTGGTTAAAGCTTGTGAGTACATAATGTTGAAGTATGTTTAATGTATGTCACAGCTGGAAAAAACGGGAACAATCCAGAATTGTAAATGTGGCACATCCACTCAGAGTTGACAGTTTGCCGGTTTGACATGGCTGTAATACATAGCGTTAGTGTTACATTGTGGGTTGGGCTGACAACATGACATCAAAGAAGGAAGTTGCCATCTTCATTTAGCGATATCTGCAGCATTATGACTCTTTGATTAGCTACATTTGAACTTGGATGTCTGCTCAATTTTTTTTTTATTCAAGACTGGTGTAAGTGTTTTGAAGGAAATAGCACAAGTATGGTGTTACTTTTGTGCATACAGTAGGTGTGAATGCATTGTTGTTTGTGCCAATAGTTTAAAACAAGCCCTTTAATCCCACCCACTACTATTTGTAATGCTGTATCAGCAATAGAAGAAAGCCCGCAGAATTTGGCAACGCCATGCTGCATGGTTCATATGTTGTAGCCATTGAAATATCGCACTGTGGCAGCCACGACTGCCTTGAAAATTCACTTCACACATGCCCTTTGGATCCAACTGTGCCCAGGCTGTAGCACAGCCCAGCACACGCGCAGCCTCATTTCTGTTCCATAAACCTTTGATTCTTCCCTTCTTCCTTTACTCTGCCATTCTCCTCTCCTCTCTCCACCCCCTCTCTGATTTCTTCTCCCTCTGCCTCACTCTGTGTGTCAGTAAAGCCAAGAGAGGAGAGAGAGACCTGCTTTCTGCTGTCTCTGCATTATGAGAGGGAGAGCGAGGCAGAGGAGAGATAGGAGCACGAGAGAGGGTTGTGAGAGAATGAGCGCTAGCAGTAGTTAAGCAGAGAGCTTGTGCCAAGAGGAGGAATGCAGCACTGCATTATGAAAGCCATAGGATATAGGTCCAGCTCTCTTTGAAAGTTAAAGGAGGGAAGCATCATATGCTTGGCTTTTATTACAGTACAAACTAAGCAAATAATGAATACATCACCCACTATCCTATATAACAGAGAAATGTGGAACATAAATGCTTGTTTCTAACACTGGGCCGATTTTCAGTCATAAAGATCTATACACTAATGAGCTTTGTGAGCTGGATACAAAAATTTCCAAAATCTTGTCATATAGGAGTAAAACACCTTCAACTCCCCAATGTCTATAGGTGTGGGAGGAGACTGGTAATTATCTTTGTCAGGGGAGAGCTTCATTGACACAAAGGAAAATGCCACATGCTTTGATCTCCCTGCATCTCCTCATCCAGATCACATCATGAACAAAGCCCAAGATTTAGGGGAAGGAAGAGGAGCAGACAAGCACAGGCGAAGGGCAGAACAGAGGGTGTATTAGACTTACCATGCATGATTTTTAGGTCAGCCCGAGGGCAAACTTTGCTCCTTATATCTGCTTCTCTGCAAGCAGGGGGCTTCATCCTTGGCATGGAGCTGTGTTGTCCTGAGCTATTTTGGGGACATTACTGAATTTAGCCACTCACTTTCAGCACTATGACATTTTGTTTTGTGGAGATTTGTAATAGGGTTGTTAAGTATGTACAGCATAGGTTTTTTTTCTTTAACCAATTTAGCCAATTCCCTTTGATAGAGACAACTGATAAAATGTTACCAATCACCTAAAATCACTGTCATATAAAAGGAAATTAATTCAGAATGAATATATTTTTATTTAGAAACAGACTTTATTTGTGCATGAAATCTCAAATGGTGAGCCGTTCTATGCTGCAACAGTGCAGTTCACAGATTTCTGGTACCAAATGAAGCAACAGTCATTTCAGCCCATACAATCCAGCCCTTGAAGCAAAAGCTGACATTAAAGGAGTGTACGAGTGAGAAGCAAACAGCCACTCAGCCAGTAAATTACAGTCCAACATATAATGCATTTTTTTTTACAGGAGAGGATAACTAGGATAACCTGGGAAAATACAGCGTGACTTAAAGTAATGGGATTATTTTGATGAATCAAAGTGCTTTTACACTCAGTTTAACAATCCTTAACAATTATCCCTTTCTGTCTCCAGGAAGGTCAGGAGTTGATCCAGGAGAAGCCGGAGCTGCGTTCAGTTGTTCAGCAGAAGCTGGAGGAGATCCGAGAGTGCTGGTCCGACCTGGAGAGCACAACCAAGGCCAAGGCCCGCCAGCTCTTTGAAAACAACAAGCCTGAACCAGCAGTGAAGAGCTACTCAGACCTCGACAACCAGCTCTCCCACCTGGAACAGCAGCCCCCTCAGCTGGAACAGGCACACCATCTGCCCACCTTCAATGAGCAGCTCCAGAAATTCCAGGCAAGTCTCAATTCTCAAGGCTCATGGTCTCTCTGAGAAGTTGTTGGCACTAAACTAGTGTCACTGAAATCCAAATAATTCTGTCATATGTGCCACAAATGATTAATTTTACGGTAAGTACCATCTATTGTCCATCCTCTGACCTCTGTATATCCTCAGCTGTCTAACACATGTTTAGTGCACAGCCCGGCCCCCATATTTGCACTCAGATAACTATAAACTTTTATTCTATAGTTTTGCCATAAACTGTGACATATTTATGTCTGACATTTTATCTTGTGTAAGAACTGCACAGCCCATTTACACACCAGGCCAATACTAAACACTTTACTAAACATTTAGCATTGCAATTATAATATTACATATATTTTACTTGTATTTTTATTAACATTCTTGTGTGACAAATAAAACCTTTATTTATTGACATTAAACCAATGGGAAAGGGTTCTTTAATCATAAAGAACAGTTTAAAATTGTCTAGCTAATAAGCATAGTTAAAGAGGCAACAGATAGGATTCGTTTTTTTTTTTTAGCTTGGCGCCACCTAGCGTCAGCGCTGTTGCTTGCACTGTCTCAACAACCAAATTGACCGTGGGGGATCAGAGATAATCAATAAAATGTAGGCTGTAATAGGGTGACCATATTTTGATTTCCAAAAAAGAGGACACTCGGCCTGGCCACGACATAGCCTACTTAAATGATACTCGCAGTTTACTCAAAGATGTCTTATAATTTTAATAGGCCTATAGCCTTTTTAAGGTTTATATGTATGGTTAGAAGATTCAGTTATATTACAAAATAATACCTCTCAAAGACAGAAATTCAGATAGGCCCCTATAGGGGACACATACACACACTAGAGTGTGGCGTCCGAGCCCGACGGGTCCCGTCAGGTTGGGCCGGGTTTGGTCAAAAATGTAAAAATTGTATTCGGGCTCGGGTCGGATTTGGTCAGCTTTCAGTGAAAATGTAGTGTAAAAATAAATAAAATCCTATTGTCTGTCCTGTTTATTGCTTGGGCACTGTTATTTACGTGACAACACCTGAACATAACACACACAGATACACACTGGCTGTTTGTTTCTACCGCTCCCCTCGCTGGAAGTCTCGGGCCACCAGCCGCCCGCCTTCTCCTTGATTAAACGCTGAAAATAAAATAAAAGTCTCAAACACGGAGGTCTCCCTCTCCGCTGAGCACCCACGGCGCACGCCTGGCCTGTTAAATAGCCTGTAACCATAACAACTGTGTGACACAAACTCAGTGCTTTAGTAATTAAATAATGTCGGGCTCGGGTCGGGTTTTGACAGAAATATGTGGCCCGTGCCGCACTCTAACACACACACACACACACACATACCCACACACACACACACACACAGAAAACCGGACATTATCATCAATTTATAAAAAAAACCTGGACGCCCTGGACGGGACATGAAAAGTGGACATGTCCAGGCAAAGGAGGATGTTTGGTCAGCCTAAAAGCCACCAGTATACCTCTATGTATATGTAGAATGAGAAGGTGTGTGGACACTATACTAAATAAATGAGTAAAGAGACCGAGCAATAATTATCAGATTTATCTGAAGAAAAAAACAAATAGTAATGCAAATAATTATACCAGAATGCACAGTACCAGTACAAACAACTCACAGTAAATTATACCAATATGTACAGTATCAGTTCAAATAACAGTAGACACGTAAGGGATAATGTGTAGTGAGCCGGTGACTGTTGAAAAATAACTCCCAAGAGGAGAATGGAACCCCGACGCACAGCAGAGTTATTTTTCAACAGTCACCGGCTCACTATACATTATCCCGCTTAGAACATGGCTTACTACTAAAACATTCAAATGTTACAACTGGCATCAATATTATTAAATTGCTGGCAGAGTGTATTGACAGAGGAGAGGCGTTCACCAGACAAACGGGAGCGGAGGAGAGGATTTTACTCCATTTCTCCCGGTCGGAGATGCTGGGTGCCCAGTAGCTGCGAAGGCTGCCCTCACATTTGTGGCCAGTGACCGACATGATCTCCCTGCTCTCCAGGCCAGCTTGGGAGAGCTGTGTGGACTAACGTTAACTGATTTTGATGCTCTTCAGTCTAAGGCCGTTGCAGTGAAAAGTCCAGTGTTCACAGCTGGACGTAACTTAGCTGGGCGATGTCCGTCGATAGCTGCCTCTGTGAGAAGAGAACAGAAGGAAGGGAGGGGCGTATCACTGTCCGAGGGCTGCCATAGAATGGCAATGAGGATGTCAGCCAACCAACACTCGCTACCCGGTCCCTGGTTACAGCGATTTTCGATGCTGGCCAGCTAGGAGTTAACTAGCAGCCAGTACAGTACAGTCCTCTCTCGTCTAGCTAACATTTAGTCGTGTTACCTACTGATCCATTAGAAAGAAAGCTAGCTGGACATCGGTTTTGAAGCCTCTTTGGTCACAGAGCTCCCTCCATCTCTTGAACGCCTGACTGAGGTTTACTCTTGTTTTTCCTCTTCATTTATCACTCTCCTTTTTGCTCTTCCTTGCCTCCTCAGACAGAGGAGCTCGTTTTCTTTCGCTAGGCCGTTTTTCACTTGTTGCCAAACTTTGTCTGTCTGCCACTGTGCTTGTGACTCAACTATCTCATGCCCAGCTCCTCATAAGGACCAGCTCCAGTCCCTGATTGGCTGTTTCGCAATACATGATGCTTTTCCTGCCGTAAAGCAGATTTTTTCCATGAAATTTCGCCCCCAATGGCAGAAGCTTATTACAAAGATTGCAAAGCCAGTCAGTAACCTATGTAAACGCTGATAGTCTGATTCTACTGTGGCCACTACCCTCTGCATTATTTTCGTAATGATATATTTAGGAAAAAATGCTGTCTGTTGCCTCTTTAAGTATTTATTGCCAAGTTGATTGAAATGGATATGAATATGGAGGGATGTCACTGAGCTACAGCAGTGGTGAAAGAAGTATTGAGCTCTTTTGTTTAAAGGTATACGATGCAGGATTGTCAAGTACTGTCTGTAAACACTCACCAGTGAAAGTGAAAGTAAAAGCCAACCCCAGATTCACTGTTGCTTGGCATTTACCCTCGCTACATTTGTGATTTTTCAGTCTTTTGGCTGCCTGCTGCTGCTTATGGTCTGGCACCTGGTCGCCACCTTTTTATAAAGCTCCACCCTCACCCAAGCACTGTGGGTGTCCACACCCATAAACATCCTGAAAATAATAAATAAATAAATAAATAAATATAAATAGATAGAATAAACACAGAAAATAAGAAGAAATGAAAAAGTACAGGCAAAGAGCAGAGTCTCTGCAATGAAATACACACACTTCTAGTGGGTTATAATCAGGCCCATACGGAATCTGCGCCAGCAGAACTCTGCAGAATTTCACCAGATTTTAGCATTATAGATTCTCTGTTGTAAAACTCAGAATGTTGTCACTGTGTCCTCCGCCTCCATGTGCATGTGTGTGACAATTGTGTGTTGTATCCAGTTAGCATTAAAATCAAAGTAAGTGGTGTAGTGAGAAGAAATGTCAAAATAAGATTTACTGTTAATAGACTGGCAAATTAATTTTTGTTCTCTCTGCTCCATATTGAACCTTTCATTTTAATGTGCATGTGTTCCACATTTTGTTGATTGACTTTTCCAACAGTTTACATTTTTTTTAAGTATTCATGATTAAATAAATTTCTGATTCAAATTTTCTACTAAAATCTACTAATTAGTTCTTTTAGCCTGCTTGAGGTCATTTCAGGTTTTAATGTATTGTGTGCATGGCCGTAGCCAGCTATGAGTCACCGAGGTAAAAATTTCAAAGAGGAAAATTAGAAGAACCCCGAACAGCATGGTAAACATATTAACACA